TTAACAAGTAATTTTAAAGAGTGTTCTATGGAAAAATGATTGGAAAGTAAAAGTAAGTGAAAAGGGTAAAAAGGTCATTTTTTCAATTATTAAGGATCTTCCCGGATTTTTAATTCCTTCTCTACAAGGAATTTTAAGATGCTCGGGAAAAATGACCAACAAGGAATGAAGAATATCTAGAAAAATTATGGATTTTTCAGGAAAAATAATATTAAAATATTCAAAAAGTTGCAAATGACCCAAATACCCCTGGGAGAATGTATAATTACGAAAATGCCCCTCTGATCAGAAACAGAGCATCTACCGTGACCATCTGAGAAATATCTCACGAAACTCAAATCCCAGCCGTTGGATCTGTTAGGATCGATACCAGTTGTTAGGATCGCACAACAACGCACACGCTCGATCTAGATGAACACAAAGAAAAAGGATAGAGAAAAGTTGCAAGGAGAACTCTGGCTAAAAGGATTTTGTATTGATGACTTCAAGTATGTACAACAAGAGAGAGTACAGAGAATAGAAAGTACATTTTCAAAGCTCTACCGGACCAGATATATATATGGTATAGTTTACCATATATGGCTTTACGAGATTTAGCCATCTAAAAGGTGTCTTGAGGCTCGGACGTAAGATCAAGTTAAGTCCTAGATTTATTGGATATTTCGAAATTCTCGAGCGAATCGGTTCGATAGCGTATAAGTTAACCCTACCACCCTCTCTCTCAAGAGTACAAGATGTATTTCACGTGTCGATGCTCAGGAAATACATGACGGACTCTATCCACGTAATAGATTACGAGCCCCTCCAACTCAGCAAAGATTTGAGTTATAAGGAAAAACCCATAAGAATCTTAGCTCAGGAAGTGAAAGCGCTACGCAACAGGGACATTGCATCCATTAAGGTATTGTGGCAGAACCCCACACCGAGGAGGCCACGTGGGAGCATGAGGACGAGATAAGAGAAAAATACCCCTAGTTAGTACAAAAATTTGAGACTTCTGATGACGAAAGTTCTTTTTAGGGCTATATAATGTAACGAATCAGGGAGGAGAAAAAAAAACTCAGTCGTCGGAAAACCCGCGAGGTCACGAAATCACGTTTCCCGACCCCCACAACTCGCTAAAACCTCCAGCCACGCTCCCCAAGCCTCTCAGAATCACCTACAAAGAAGAAAATAATGAAGAAGTGAGAGAGAGAGAGAGAGNCTTTTGATCGAGGAGAGTCTCCGGAATGGAATGACTTTGACTATTGATTCATTAGTAAAAAAACCTTTGCCAACTTTTTAATTGGCGAAACAAGAACTTTATGTGAGAGTCCAAGCTCGAGAAGGGGAATTGGGCATTTTTTTGATAGGGGATCAGGGTGGTTTTCCTTGGAGATGGAAAATTTGCCCGCCGAGTTTTATCAAAACCCATTTTTTTTACCTTATTTAAGGCAAATAAGGTCAGTATAGCACTATATCTCTAAATTTAAGTTAATTTATGATAGAAATGTGATTTATTAACGTGAATAAGATGAACGTTCTTATAAGAGTCAACTCCCAACAACCTTTGGAGCAGCTCCCGAGGAACAGGAGCTTACGTTAATTAAATTAGGGAGTACTTCGGCTAAGGCCAACCAAGTAAGTGTTCTTACTATATGATAGGCTAGAATTGTTTGCGTTACATTTTTATTTACGAGCATGATGATGTATGAGTATGATGCTTGAGCTGTGATGCATGTTATATATACGTGATTTATGTTTCGATGCATGATGTGCATATGTATATACGTGATTTATGTTTCGATGCATGATGTGCATATGTTTGATGCAGTTGATGGCTTATAGATGAGTATGATGTTGCATGATGTATTCCATATTGAGCATGATATATGATAATGATTGCCATACTACATCATCTCGTTAGATCCACCTGGTACACAACCTTAAGAGCATGAAAATAATATTAATATAAATATCCAAAAGTGCGTGTTATCTAGAGTAATAATAACTCATCCCTATATTTCTCAACTTTTGCCTCTTGGTTTCAATTTAGATGTTTTTTGGTCCGTTGAAAAAAAAATCATAATGATAAATAAAATGAGCTCTAATGCCTATAAAATTTTAATGCTGAGCATATTATATCATGTTAAGATTATGTATGGAATTTTGTGGTCATTGGATAAGGATAAGTAGGTAAACCAAGAAACGGGACAAAATAACCATAATGCCCTTAAGGATATCTACCTACGGTTCATGACCTAAATGACCTCCAAATGCTATGAAACTCTACAATAGATCTTATTGTATGATGATTGATGAGGTGGTGAAGTTTGAAAGCTACTGGAACTCGTTAAGTAGCAAAACCAACAATTAGGGGTAAAATGACCATAATGCCCCTAAGGAAGACTACTACGGGTTAAGCCCTAAATGACCTCCCAACATTATGAAATGTTGTATGAATCCTTATCTCATGATGATGTATAAAGTAACAAAGTTTGGGAGTCATTGGGAAACGTTAGATAGCGAAACCAAGATATGGGGAAAAATGTACATCACGATCCACATGACTTTACCTCCTAGGATGACTAACGAGGTACCCATGAAATAAGAGATTCCCCATAGGTACCCTTGGTTGCTGATAAGATTCTAAGTGCACAAGATCACGTTGGGCTATTCCTAAGAAGAACCTTTAAGTACCAAGCTTGACCCAAGATGTTATGCATAAACCTAGGATCCCCAAGAATACAAGGAAACACCTAGGTTAATGCAGATGGTATGCTTAACAAGTTGCTAGGATCCATGCTCGGAGTAACCGTTATCTCCCATCACAAAGTGTACCACGAGATCCCTATTCCTCTTCAGGTGAGACTCCCTACTATATGTACCATGTGCAGGATGCCATGATGAACTTAAGATTTTCCCTCATCTAAATGAGATGCCCTGCAACACGATATGCTAGCAGGATGCCACGTTTATGATAATGTCACCTATGCACTCATGGGGAGAAAACTAAGGGTTACTTTGAAAGTGTTTTCAGGACCAAAACACGATATATGACATGACAACCTCTGAGGGTTAGTTCTTGAAAACGAAACAAGAAGTCATATCCTAGCTCAAGGTCTAAATATGCTCCAAATCACCAACCATGTCCTATAAGGTCTATTTTATATGACACGAGGATAAGTTCAAGATTTTAAGTTGGTTGGAGAAAGTTTGGAACATAAGCCAAGATGGAACTTAAGGAAACGCCCGAAGAAAACATGTTAAGATTCAAGACTCCTCTAGAACCCTCTAAAGAACTCCCTAGGAATCTATGACCTTCTATAACAACTCATGCTAAGATGGGTTCATATGATTACGAATATGTTACGAGTTATGCTTCAAGAAAATAAGAATCTTAGAAACTTATAAGATTAATAATCAAGAACAAGGTATACAACCACCAAAACAAGAAGAATGCTAGGTACCACTCAAACATAAGGGACCAAAGTCCTCAAGACTCAAAATTCAAGAATGCTAGGTATTACTCTAAGCATGTCTAATTGTGGCCCATAACTCCCACCATGCGGTGCTTTCTAAGGAGGCCTTTTTCCTCTTCTAGGTGGGATGCCCTGCACCGTGTTTGCTTTGCAGGATGTCATGTTTGGCTTCATTCCCCTCACCTAGATGAGATGCCCTGCGCCATGTTGTGATTTGCAGGATGCCATGTTCATGTATGCACCGATCACGCGACCTATATGATCTATGTTAGATTATGCGACCTTTTACGGTCTATGCTATGTTCATGCATGCATCGATCATGTGACCTTTATGGTCTATGCCATGCTCATGCGTGCATCGATCACGTGACCTTTATGGTCTATCATGGGGAGTAACCTATGGCCACGATGAAGCAAGAAGAGAGTAAGATATCCTAGTCATGAATTAAGAATCTCCTAGGACCTCCCACGGTACATCATGGGTATGACTTAAACTACGCTGCTTGGAACATAAGAAGCCTTGAGCGTAGGTATTAAGACTGTGTCGCTTGGAACGCTTGAAGCCTCGGACACAGGATGACAAGTTCATGTCTAGTACCGTAAATCTTAAGGGAAGTGTCTTGGAGAACGAATTAAGAAACATAACAAGAACTTACGACAAGAACAAGAACAAAAACAAGAATATGAAAAGAAAAAGTGTGGTACCCTAGCATATTAAGGACACGATTAAGAGCTTACAAGTAGGCTGCTTACTGAGTCTTTGTACTCATTCCCTATTCTCCATTTTTTTTCAGGAAATAAGGAGCTGGTCGGGTCGGGAACGGACTCTGGAGCAGGTGCCACAGACAAATCTCACCTGTCGTCCTTCAACCCTTTTGTGTCGTCCCTTAACTTGTATTTTAACTGTTATGTTGTGTTTTAAAATACTTTGTAGAAACTTTATTATGATATAATGTTTGATATGATTTAAGTTTTGGTTGTTTTATTTTGTTAAAAATTTTGCCCGTCTTTTAGAGTCATCGAGTCGGCCCGGTCCTTACAATAAGGAGTCTGCAAAAAGTCTGTTGAGCTAAGGAGACTGTAAGGGGTTTGTAGAGCATAAGGAGACTACAAGGAGTATGTGAGCGTAATGAGACCGCAAAGAGTCTGCAGAGCGTAAGGAGACAACAAGGAGTCTGCTGAGGTTTATATTCTACGATTCTGCATAATTCATCGTTCTCGAAAAAAAAAAATATTTCCATTTTTATGTTCAATTCTTGATTCAATAAATTAATACCGGAGCATTTATTGAACTTTTTTTTCTCTTCTAAAGTGCATGTACTTTTTTATGAGTTTGGGTGGATAAGTGATTAAAGACGGAATATCTTTATTTGTTCCCTCGTTTTATTATTTGTACTGAAATTTCTTTGTGACTAAGACAAAAGTTGAGAAATATAGGGATGAGTTATTATTACTCTAGGTAACTCAACTCCTGGATATTTATACTAATATCATTTTTATGCTCTTAAGGTTGTGTCCTAGGTCGATCTAACGAGAGATCATTTATGTGGTTTTATTTGATTTCGAGATTGGTCACTGCAGAGACAATCGGCTTGAAATTATTACGTTCTCGATCTGTTAATTGTGATTATATGTTATATTTATCGGATATTGGACTCCTTTTCTACTACTAGTGTAATGTTTATTTGGAGATTTGGAAGGATGTTTATCTCAAGAAATTCAAGGTCTTTTCCATTTATTTTCATGTCCCTTTGCTTCCCACTTTTGGGTTTATATAGTGGATACTTTTGGCTGGTCTTTTGTTGTGCCTTTCTACCGTTATAAAAATAAAAATTTTGCAAATGTCTTTTGTCTTGCAAATGTTTTTGTGGGCTATCCTTTTGATGGTTTCAAGAAGATGTCGTGGCTTGCGTTTTCCTAGATTCTTTTGGAGTGGAGAATTTGATCAAAGAGTAGTGGGGGGTTTTATAGAATTTGAGAGTGGGAACTCCTTTGTTTGATGTAACTACTTGAGCCGGATGAAATGAAACTTTCACGTACGATTGTGAAAGGGGGGAGATCCTATAGTATCCTATCCAAAATTTTCTTTTGGTTGGCCCATAGCTAAAAAAAACTTACTTTCTTACGATTACGGGGTTCATCTAGTACGCTCATATAGTAGTCTTTCATCATTAATTAATAATTAGATAAGTTCCCGTGATTGGGGGGTTTCTACTTGAATTTTTTCTCTTCTAAAATTCACTACTAGTGTATTGTTATTATAATATGATTTCTGTCCTGCTTTTCAGGTAGTCTGCCATCATACTTTGGTTGGTTGAGCCCACCTGCCCACCCCATACCATTCATTCATACGGGCCGACTTCAAGAGTTGAACCCAGTCTGGAGGCCTTTTGTATTTTAAACCGGGTATCTCTCTCCTCCAAACCCTAAAACTCCGAACCCGCCGCCGCCGCCTCTCTACATCTCTCTCCGTCTCTCCAAACCCTAGTAGTAGAAGATAGTGAAGATGAATAATCCATCAGCTGGGTCGTCCTCAAAGCAAAGAACTGGATCATCTCAACCCTCTGAAACTTCTTTTAAGCGCAAGAGAGGGGTTTGTCAGAAACAATGTAACTGGTTTTCCTTTTCTTCCTCTTTGATTTTTGGGCGCAAGTTTGTATGTGAAAATGTAATTATATGATCTCCTCTTCTTTCAGTGCAGCACATGATGTATGGTTTTGGAGATGACGCCGGGAAATCCGCTTGGAACTCCGCCGGCAATATCCGCTCGGAACTCCGCCGGCAATATCCGCTCGGAACTCCGCCGGCAATATCCGCTGGCAATATCCGCTCGGAACTCCGCCGGCAATATCCTACAAGAACGAGAACAGAGAGAAGGGATCCAGATCCAGACCCGACCCGCTCAAATCTGACCCAGTGGATAGCCCAGATCTTTGGGCTGCCCGGCCCAGCGGATAGCCAAGATCCGTGGGCTTCCCGGCCCAGCGGATAGCCAAGATCCGTGGGCTTCCCGGCCCAGCGGATAGCCCAGATCCGTGGGCTGCCCGGCCCACTACGACAAGCCCAGGTCCGTGAGGTGACCCGGCCCACTACGACAAGGCTAGGTCCGTGGGCTAGCCCGGCCCACTACGACAATCCCAGGTCCGTGAGGTGACCCGACCCACTACGACTGCCCCGATCCGACCCGCTTAACACTGCTCAATACAGGTCAGTTTGTTTATTGTGGGAGATGGTTCGATCTTCTGTAACTCGTCTGTCTATCTGTAGGCAAAAATTACGGGGACGGTTTGGACTCGTGGCGCTACCAATTCTCAAGCTTGGAAGCGCAGTCGGAGTGCCAGCCGACCCCGGATCCGACCCGCTAACATTAGTTTGTCTGTGGAGTGTCTAACTCTCTCCCTCGCCCAATATCATGGGTGAAAGTGAGAGGGAATAAAAGAAAAAAAAAAAGTCTATTCATTTACTAATTTTTGTGAGAGGGCTGTTTGCGTGTTTTGTATGGAAAAGGAGTGGAATCAGGGGCAATCATATTATTAAGTCAGAGAGGGGCAGGCCATCATATTCTCAGCAAGCATTTTCCTGTATTGTATAAAAGAGGAGTGTGTTCTTCCTCACTCCCGCATTTCTCTTGTTTTCTTATTCAGCTTCTTGGTGGTATGTCTCTCAGTCTCAACTTCTACTTTGATTAATTTTGTATATTCCTCTACTAATGTAGTAATGTTTTTTTATTTCCTCTAGTCATGGCATCCAGCGGCACCAACATGAACGCCGGAAAACAACAGAACAAAAGCGTGTGGAAGGATGAGATAGAATGTCTAATGTGTACGTGGAGGGGGACGGTGAAGGACGCAGTTTATCACCAACGAGTCCACAATGGAAAGTATCATACCTGCCCAACTTGCAAGGTGAAGTTCCCTTCAAAGAGGGACTTGTGGATTCACCAAGATGAGAGACATGATGATGGTAGATAGCTCACACCACACCAAGAGGAGAGACTAGCTCCATCTGGGTGAGCCATTTATGTTTTTATCAAATAGTAAATTATGAACTTGTGTTATGTTTGCTGGTTTGTGTTATGTTTGTTTGTTTGTGTTATGTTTGTTGGTTGGTTGGTTTGGTGAATATTACTTATATTTGAAAATTTGTTTTGTAGATATTATTGTTATTATTATGTAATTTGGTTAATTACGCTGTGGATGTAGAATTATCAACCTCTCTCTCTCTCTATGTTATCGTGTTCTCGTCTCTCAACTTTTATCTATGTTCTTTCTCCTTAAACTGTAACATTTTTTTTTCTTTTTTTCTTTTTTTAAAATGATTTGTGTATATTTTTTAAAATTTTAAGATGTACATAATAAATTTTAAATTTTAAAAATTTGTGTTAAATAGTTTTTTTTTTTTTCTAGTTAAATTCCAAAGTTTATAATTAAAAAAAGTTTTGAAAAAAATGCATTGCTCATTTTTAAAGGCAGAAATCAAGCTCTATCTTGCATTACATTAATTTCAAAATTGGCCCCGCTTGTTAAATTATGGCCCAGCGTGGACTTTTGATATGAAGTCAAGCCCAGTTGTCTCGGCCCAAACGCTCGGCCCACATCCCGCTCGCAGGCACGTCAGCCCCAGCCTGCTCACACGCACGCGAAGTCCGTCAGAAGCTCTGCTTCGGCCCAGGCCCACGGGCAAAAAAAAATATATTTCTATAGGCTTAATTTTTTGCAAAACCCATTTTTTAAACTAAAACTATTTATATACACATATATTTTTTAAAAATAAAATTTTATTTTAATTTTAATATAATACATGACAGTGTAAATGATAACTATTTTTTAAACAAAAATTGTTTATATACACGTATATATTTTAAAAATAAAATTTTATTTTAATTTTAAATAAAATTTTATTTTAATTTTAAATAAAATTTTATTTTAATTTTAAATAAAATTTTATTTTAATTTTAATATAATACATAACAGTGTGAGAGTGAATGGAGGAAGGGAAAAGAGAAGAAACCACCCAAAATGATACAACAAATATATTAATCAATTTATAAAGATATAAATCAACCTCCTTCAATATTTGCTTACAAATTAATTTTAATCATCCATCCAAATCTTTGGAGCATATAGTTGGGATGATCCAAATAATCCAAATCTTTGGAGCATATAGTTGGAATGATCCAAATAGGACTAGGCAAATTTTTTTGTGCAGGATCTGCTATGTACTGGTCTTCAAAGCTTCCATTTTCGAAGTTGAATGTACCTAAATCTTGAGTTCCATCTAATTTCCCAACAACAAGATTAACGTAACGATTATCGGTGAAATATATACGATTTGGTAAACATCCAGGAAATTCTTTAGTTGAAACACAAATGGACTGGGAGTCGCCAATAAAAATAGCATCACCATCTAAGCTCTTCACCTCTACCGCCCTTCGCATCTCATCTTCATTCTCATGGATAAGTTTGTAAACTTCAAAGTCCACCGTCTCAAATTGTTCTTCTCCAGAGTCTAATATCCTCAAAACAACCAAAAGCTCTCCTTTGGAAGACTCTGTAATATACGACGTAACCAAGTGCCCCATTTCTATTGTGTGGACCATCTTTACAGATATACAAATAGATGAACTTTCATCCTCACTATTTTCAACTTCAACTTTCCAAACATTCAAGTAGTATTCTGTGGCATATAGAGTATCACCACAAATATTAATATCATTAAAAGGAATGTTTGGTGTTGGGTAGTAATACGTCCAAGTTTTATCATTTGCTCTTATCAGACACAATCTTTTGTATGTACCAAAGATGGCTACAACCATGTAATCGTTTGGATATAACGATGGATCTTTGGTTAGTATTGCTTTAATTATGTGGCCTGGTATCCACTCAATGTCATCATATGTAGCAACCGGAGGAAGATAAATCACAGTCCCAGAAAAAGGGTTGAATAAAACGATACCGAGTGTCTCATCACGCATGATCAACCAACCAAAAGAGGAACCACAACACCTTTTGTTGAAGCAAAATTTGAAGTCAACTGGGCGAACTACGTTCCTAGTGAGATCGTATAAGCAATGCTGCTTTTCAAGACCATCTTTTGAGGGAACAATGAGCATCGGCAGTTGAGTTACCTTGGAGGTAATTATGGACCGTTCGTGTTTGTGGCGTAATGCAAGAAAATACCAAGACTTACATACCAAGTTAAATTGGAGATAATCGTAGAGAGACACCATTTTGTTGAGAATCACACCAAGAACATCGTAGTCAAGTGCAGTCCAATCTCGAGAGTTTGAATTTTCCATGGTTTCTCTTTTTTGTTTTGTATCTCTGCTGTACCAAATCACAAATCATATAATTAGAAATAAAATCGACTATTTTGTAAAATATGGAGATTAAATAAATTTCTCTAAATAATATGTCAATTAATTCAAAACAAATAAATGTTATAACATGCCATATAAGATTTTAATTATTTTCTTACCATTTTAAAATAATTGTTTTTAATCATAATTAATTTACTATTTCCTGTACCTTCATTCACATATTATAATTAACTTGCTTTACATAATATATTTATAGATTTAATTAAACCAAGAATACAACTAATAATCTCTATAATTTAGCTTATACAACTACCGTGCAAAATGATTTATAAAAATAGTATAAATTGTGATTTTTTTAAAAGAAAATAAAAATAATAATGTAATAAAATAATATAAAAGAAAATAAAAAAATATAAAAGAAATTAAACAAAACAATAAAAAGAAAAATAATTTCAGATAAAAAATAAAAATAAGAACGTAATAAAATAATATAAAATAAACTTTAAAAAATATAAAAGAAATTAAACAAAACAATAAAAACAAAATAATTTGAGCTCGGCCGTAGGCATAAAGTATGATTTTTTAAAAGAAAATAAAAATAATAATGTAATAAAAGATATAAAAGAAACTCAAGAAATATAAAAGAAATTAAAGAAAACAATAATAATAAAAATAAAAAAAAAAAGCTAGGTCGAATCATAGGCATAGAGCATGATTTTTTTAAAGAAAATAAAAATAATAATGTAATAAAATAAACTAAAAAATATAAAAGAAATTAAACAAAACAATAAAAAAGAAAAATAATTTCAGCTGGAAAATAATAAAAAGGAAAATTTGATTTCTTAAAGAAAATAAAATTAATAATATAATAAAATAATATAAAAGAAATTAAAAAAACGAAACTAAAAAATATAAAAGAAATTAAACAACACAATAAATAATAAGAAAAATAAGGAAAATAATAAAAAGGAAAACCTGTGAGTATGCAGTGTGATTTTTTTTTTAAAAAAAATAATAATAATATAAATATAAAAGAAATTAAAAAAAAAACAATAAAAAATAGAAAATAATTTCAGATAAAAAGGAAAATAAGGAAAAGGAAAACTGTGGTAAAAGTGTGGTTTTTTTAAAGAAAATAAAACATTGGGGCGCCGGAGTATCGGGTTGAATATGCATCCCTACTCCTAACTTTAGTAAAAAAACTAAAAACAGTTAAAATGGTTTATATTTAAAATAAATAATTAATAAAAATATTTAAAACTAAACTTAATCAAATATTTAAAAATTATAACTGGTAAAAAGTTACGACTATGACAAAAACAGAGACCAGCATAGGAAAAAGTGTTAGAATTTAAATTATACACAAAAAAAAAAATACCGTAGTGAGCAGAGAGTCTTGGTTCCGCGTACAAAAATCAATAGTTCAATTTTAGATGGTGTATTGAAAACTTAAAATTGATGAATACATTGAGATTTTGCTTATTTATACCTAAAATCAATTAAGAAAAAAGAATATATTTAAATTAGGAAATATTTTATGTGAGTAAATAATAATGAAAAAAATATATGCATACCTACAAACCAAAATATTTTATTTGCGAGAATAGTGAGATCGAATTTAAAAGGCTATGTGATCGGACAGTGTATGTTTACAAACTTGGAAACCATTTTTTTTCCTTTTTTTCGTATTATATATATTCCGTTTTTTTTTAAAGATTTTTTCCATTTTTTAATTTTATTTTAGTATATATTTTTCTCTTGTTATTTTATAATCTAAATATTTTTGAAGTTTTTTTTTTTAATTTTTTATTTTTGTCGGATTTAACAGGGGTTTATCCTTCCTATTTAATCTTTTTCAAATTTGAATTCGAGCATGGGTGAGAGTTAATAAATAAATTTGAATTCCTTCTATATGTATGTTTGTGTGTGTTTTTTAATATATGTTGTAATTAATATAAAATATATATTACTTATAATAAAAGATTATTTTATAAAATTTTAGTAGTTGGTTATAAAAAATTAAAAATAAATAATTAATTAATTAAGTTAAATAAATAAATAAATAAAACTTAATTTCATCATTCTCCACATTTTACTCTCTCATTTTGTGTGTTTCGAGAGAGTTTAGATTACTTAACCATCAAACTCACCACAATAGAAAATATTTTATACCTTTTCTGTAACAGATATTTCTGTAACTGATTTTTATACATTTTAAAACACATGTTTTTTTTTCCTCCAAAAACGCTCCCATAGCAATTAATGTTTCAATTTTTAATTATATTATTTGATTTTTTTTCTAAAAATATTTGATTCCAAAATTCCTTTCTCTTAAAATATATTTGAACTTTGTAATATATTCCTAAATAATTACTTTTAAATATAATAGCTCCAAAAATTAAAAAATATGGATTTATCAACGGATTAGATGAATAATAAGGAAAGTCGGATAAAATTTGATCAACGTCCAAAAGCATCTACTTACTCATCAAGCAACCTAAACCCCAAGCTAATAAGGAAAGTCAGCCCAACCAAAGTAGAAGTCAGGTGGCCCAAAGAATGAAGCCCAAGTTCATATGAAAACTCAGCCCACCCCAGAGTCGAAGTCAAGTGGCCCAAATCTGAAGCCCAAGTTCATATGGAAACTCAGGCCCAAAAAAAATATAAAAGAAATTAAAAAAATTAATGAAAAGGGTAATATGTATTTTATAAACTAAAATATATATATAATATTTCATAAGATATGAAAACATTACCTTCCTAAGTAAATACACTAGGTAATACACCAAGTTACTCACACTATTGATATTTGCATCTATAAG